CTAAAAAGAACAATATATTGGTTTTATCTTGATGCTGCCATAACTTTTTTTTCAATACAAAACACATATATTCCTACGGATAGTACTCTTAAATTCTGTGATTTACCTTTTAAAGTTCTGAGGCCCTAAAGTACATGAGCTTTATATACATCAGAGTACACTCTGTCTTAAGGATATGTGGTTGCGATTTTAGATATGGGTATTGATTCCATCCTGGAAACTTTGGGAAAACTGGGGAAGGTAAATAAAAATTTTTGTTTTTATAATAAGAAGGTTAGTGGGCAAAAGCCTGAAGGATGTGAGAGAACTAGCCAGCCAGAGACCTGAGATAAAAATATTCCAAGAGTAGCAGTGTAGAAGCTGTGAATCAGAAATATGACCAGTACATTGAAGAAACATCAAGGAGGTCAGTGTTATTCAAGGAGTGTGGTAAAAGGAGAAGACAGTAAAGACGCTGGGGTTGTATACAGGCAAATAAAATAAAGCTTTGTGGTTTATTATGATTACTGGATTTTGAGTAAATACTGATACAATCTGATGTATATATGTTAAAGATCACTCTTTTGTGTCCACAGGTACTGTATAGAGATCAAAGGAAGGGAAAAAAAACAGTTAGGAGAGAGGCTAAGAGATAAAAGATAGCTGGGTTTTTGAGTGAGGGCTTAGCTGAACCGCTAAATGAAATAAATAAAGAATAGTAAGGAAAAGATGAAGTAGGATGTCAAAAATAAGTGAAAAACCTTCAAGTTCATCTTTTATTCTTGATGTCACGCGTCTGTTTGTAAAATATTCAACAAAATGCTATGGTTTGAATACATCTCCCCCACCAAATGTATGTCTTAGAAATTTAATCAACAGTGTTGAGAGGAGGGACTTTCTTGAAGTGAAAGTATACATGAAATCTGTCACCATTTGTGTTTTATTGCCTTTACCTAATATTGAGTTAAGTTATGGATAAAATGATATGACTTCTACTTTAATCCAGTATATTATTAACAAATAAACAGATTTTCAGCACATACTTTTCCAAGCAAAAAAATAAAATAAAATAAATAATTAGTATTTTCTAATAAATTTTTAAAACTGTAAAATAAAATGTTGTTATAGATATGCTGTGCTGGTATCTTTTAAGAAAAGTGACATTCTCCTGAAATACACTCTAGGGTTCCTCAACACTGAGCAGGACTTATGACAGGATGCAATCATTTTGGATCTGCTTTTGACAAATATAACCTTCTAGTGTCCAACTTGAGCTCTTTAAATATTTTTTTCCAGATTTAAAATGTACACTTAATCCTAAACATTGATAAAAATGTATCTTCAAAAATAGTCAAACTTTGTACATTCTTATGGTCAGTTCAAGTTAACAAATCTTTACAAAGAAGTTTGTATACAGGAATATGTAGCTCGTGACCTCACATAGCTTATGCTTTTCTAGAGTAAAACTAAGAATGGTCAAAGAAAAAGCAAACTGTAGTTGTGTACATAGAGTTTACAGACACTGATCATGTTGCTGTTGACTTTTACATTAAAACATAAATAGTTCAAGGTCCTTGGTTCAATCCCCCAGCACTACAAAAATAAAATAAACAAACAAAGATCTTTCCCTTATTTTGGCATTCAGGATTCACAGTGTAATAGCCACCTCCTTACTTAAGTATTTTAAAGCAAAGCCTACTAATCAGTCAAAATTTCCTGGCCATATTCTTAGAGACCTTATTGGGATTCCTATTGTAGGATAAGATCACAAAAATATGTAGGGGTCCAGCCACCAAAGTCTCAAACATTGATAAAATTAGATAGAGAAATAAACATATCAACAAATGACAAAAGCAATCGCTAAAATAACCAAAAAGAATGTAACTCTGGAATACTGAAGAGAGGAGCTGTGGATGTGATATAATTGTCTTTTACATCATGAAATCAGTAGCTATTATTCAGTTTTATATGTTATGTGTACTCATGATGGGACCATAAATGGCAAATAGAAATTATTAGAAGAATCAGCTTCTAGTGAAACACGGAATAGGAGTGAGGCAGATGACCACTGCATTAAAAATAAAACATTTTGTGTATTTTCTTATAATCATACAAATATTTTATATAGATAAACTGTAAAATTCATCTTAAAATAATTTGTCTTTATGCACAAGAAATTCTTCTGACTCTCTTACACATGTATCAAACACTAATGTTGTCTTTTAAAGTAATAAATTTTTATAGCTGAAAGTCAGCCAGTCCTGTATATAATTACTATGAGGAAAAACAATTAGATATGTATGATGCTGATTAGGAAACTAAATGTATTAAGCTCTACCTATTGTGTGACAATAATAACCACAGAAGCAAGTGCTATAGTTAGTTATTTAATATAATTTCCCAACAATCTTACAAATTACGTAAGTTTAACTCACGATTAGATATACTAAATAAATAATTGAATAAGAGCACAGAGCTGACTCTGGCCTTTTCTTTTTCTTTTTCTTTTTTTTTTCTCCAACTACTGCTTGGGATTAAATATATTTATTTTTAAAACAAATATTTTCCCCCAGTAACACTAGAAATTTATCTTAAGCTTCTTTTTAATGACTTAAGGAATCCATTGAACAAATTTTGTTTAACATCCATAGAATCTTATCATTTTAGTTAAAACTCAAGTGATATCTAGCTTATCTAATGATAAAAAAATTTTCCTAAGAAAGGTTTTTAAGACTGAGCTAATGTGTATATTCAATATATTAACACAGATAAATCATATTTAATTTTTGTTAAAATAACATAAATGCACTTGTTCAACTAAAACATAACACCCAATGTCAAGTGCAGAGCATGTTTCTGGCACTTGGCTGATTCTAGAACTCTACTGAAAAGCACACCTCCAATGTGCTAATATTTCAATATTTGTCAGAAACTAGACTATGTTCTTTGTATGTGTTGTTTACCAACCATAGCTTCACAATAATCTATTAAATAATAACTGATTACAGACATGACTTCAATGAACATTAAATATACTAAATTGGGCGGAATTGAATCTATGACTTTTTTTGTTTTAGGATTATTTATATATGCAGTGGTACATTTATACCAAAATTGACATATGAAATCTATAACTGACCTTTCTACCAATATATAGGCCTACTGGGAAGGAGTAGGATTGTTAAGTAGGCTTATTCTAGTAAATGCACATGAGATTCCTGCTTCTGCCTTTCTCACCTGCCATTGAAAGTCATATACTTAACATTGATCCCAGTGACCAACAACTATCTTGCTGATATGTAGTTTTCTGTATCCTTTAGTGTTTCTTCATCACAACTTTTGATTATTTCACAGGTGGATCTGGGAATTTTTCAAGAAATTTCAAGTGATTACTAATGGCAACTTTTGAAAAATGCTTTCTGAACTTTTGAATGTTTTTTTTGGCTAAAAGCAATTTTTCTTTTGTATGCCTCTAAATTCTAAGACAATATGATCATCCTTTCCCCATATTCCTTAAAACTTAATTCCCTGTTATATGGGGCTGGGGCTGTGGCTCAGTGGCAGAGCGCTTTCCTTGCACATGTGAGGCACTGGGTTCGATTCTCAGCACCACATAAAAAAATGAATAAATGAAATAAAGATATTGCATCCATCTATAACTAAAAAATATATTTTAAAAAACCTTAATTCCCTGTTATCAATGATTTTTCTCTTTAGAAGATTTAAGCCCAATATAGTTATTTCTCTTTTTATTCTCTTTATCTTTTGATAGATTAAACCATGAATGCAAGTTAAGAATTAGAGATAAGAGAAAATGATCTCAGGTTAAATGACACGTAAATCAAAATCATGCAAAAATAATTCTGTGAGTGAATATATTTTACAATTAGGAAAAATTACCATGTATGTCAGATACTTAAAATCCACATTTATAACTATCAAATTAGGGTTATTGTTGATTTTTTACTGAAATTCATTATAAGAAATATATGTTATATCATGACCTAATGCAAAGACACAAAAACACACACGTGAATGTGTGTACACATGTATACATGTGAGTATATGGATATTTTTAGTTATCACTGTATATGCAACTGAAAAAACTTTCACAAAAGATTATTTGTCATTGCCTTGTTCTTTGACTTATAATTTTTCTCTTTTTATTTCATTTTTAATTTAATTTTAATTTTATATGATTCAATTCTATGTCTATTGTAAAAATATTAATTATGACACAATGAATTGATTTTATGACTCACTGCTATTGACCATAATTTGGAAAATCTTCCCAAGATGATATCTCTCTGTCAGTTTTGCACAATGTATTAGGATCATTCAACGGATGAGGGTGTCTGTGGTAAACTTTTACAATGATATCACTGTTTATCTCCTTCCTACAATGTTCTTTTGCACTATATCCATATATAAAGTTATATACAAGTGTATGATTTTTAAATATTGCAGTATTAATTCTCCTTTAGACATCCAGCTCTTAGGAGAAATGTATATTCTTTTATATCCTTATTTCAGATGAAGATTCATCACCAATTCTTGATAATATTTAAGTTACTGAATTTATCTAAATCTATTGAAACTCCAACTTCAGTGTGTTTACTCTTCATTTGTTTGACCAGTATTTTCTGGACACCTAATATTTTAGGCACAGCTCTTAAGTCCTGAAGGTACACAAATGAACACAACAGGAAATAACACCTATGTTCTGAAAGAGCTTGCCTACTGTTAACAGGCACATGGCTTTAGAGACACCTGGTAAAATAAGTACTTTTCTAAAACTATTTTTTGTATTGATTTCAATTTTTAAGTCCTCAATAAAATCTCTTCATTGCCTATATCATGCTTGTAGGTTTATGTGAAGTGGTTGATTTTTTTTTTAAAACAGGTATTTATTTAAACATTTCTTGATTCTTTTTAATAAAAGAAAGAAAGAGAGAAAGAAAGAGGAAAAAAATTGGCTAAAAGCAATTTTCAGCAGGAAAAAAAAAAAGTATGTTTCTTACCATGACAACTGGGTAGAGCTCTGTTCCATCCAGGTCTTCCATCATCTCCCATAATACAGGTGAGTGTCGAATAACCTTGAAGAACATAGCCAGCATCACAGTAATAGGTGACTGTTGATCCTAATTTATAATCCATCCCAAGTCTGGTACCATTCATTATGTTGCCTGGATCAAAGCAGGACTCCCGGAGTTTTGCTGTGAATAGTTTTGATAAGAATTAATTGCTTTAAAATAATATTTTCTATGAAACCTTTAGAATATGTTCATTCCTTTCTCTAAACTGCAAGGGAAGCATCAGCACCTTTTCTATCTCTGAGGGCTCATTGTACAAAGTAGACCTTAAGCATATTTGAAATTCTGATAATTCACATTGATTTGTAAGTAAAATTGTTCAGTTTTTTTTTTCCCCATTAAAATTAGTACCTAAGGGCTGGGGATGTGGCTCAGCAGTAAAGTGTTTGCCTGACACATGTGAGGTGCTGGGTTGGATCCTCAGCACCACATAAAAATAAATAAAATAAAGGTACTATGTCCAACGACAACTAAAAATTATATATATATATATATATATATATATATATATATATATATATAAAAATTCATATCTAAGCTACATAGTTAAACATACATAATTACATGCTATAATCCATACATCAATATTGAAATGAATTACTTTGGGGGAAAAAAGCAGGACTTCCCCTAACATTTGTTTATTTAAATGATCTTCCCCCTTAATAACATATATCTATGCCAAATTACTGAACCTAAAAGTGTATCTGCTGCTTGTATTGCACTTGGTTAATTTCACATTAGGAGGACTGTAAAGGATTCTGTTTCTCTACTCTGCAACTCTTCTTCTTCTTCTTAATTTTTTTTTTTTTTAGAGAGAGAGAGAGAGAGAGAGAGAGAATTTTTTTTATATTTATTTTTTAGTTTTCGGCAGACACAACATCTTTGTTTGTATGTGGTGCTGAGGATCGAAACCGGGCCGCACGCATGCCAGGCGAGCGCGCTACCGCTTGAGCCACATCCCCAGCATCTTCTTATTTCCTCTTGTCATTCCCCACATTTCTATTAGAGGTAGCCCCATTTTAACCTTTACAACCTTTACAAAATTCAATGTATGGTCTTTTTGGATAGATAGTCTATGCAAATACCAGGTATTTTCAAAGCTAGCAGTAACAAATAGAAATACAAAGTCCATTCACAAAAAGGGAACTGTGTACCTAAAAATAAACTAGGGACTTAAGAACATTTAGGAAAAAAAAAAAAAAAAAAATATATATATATATATATATATATAGAGAGAGAGAGAGAGAGAGAAATAGGAAGATTGGTGCATCCATTTTTTGGAATAGGACGTTAATGGGTATGAATGATGCTTGAGATTATTTCCATTTAATTGTTTTTATTATTATTTTAGTATAGATTGCTTAAGAAATAATCAATGTATAATGTAAGGGCCATCACAATAAATTCATAGTACCAAATGTGATTTTCTACATCAGGATTTATCCTGTATTAATGAGAAATCAGGAGATGAGTGCAACTCTGAATCTGAGTCATGGAACAATCAATTTCTTGGTGTTTGGCTAGTAAAAAAACATAATTATAATATACCAAATTTTGACGACTTGCAACAGAAATAATGTATTTCTTCCATTCATAAAAGTTTGCAAAGAGTTTAAGGTTCTTTTATATTCCATGAGAGACCTGGAAGCTACACTTTAGGAAGAGCACTATATATGATTCTCCCAATTTAACTAAAAAAGGAAATGATGGAATTAGACATTTAAATTGTTTTTATAGACTATCAGGGGAATGACAAATGTTTACTTCCTTCCTTTTCTTCTTTCATTCCTTCCTTCCTACAAATAATTAAGAGCTCACTATCTGATCTAATTCACTCTAGAAATTAGCAAATAGTTAAACACAAGATATCCTGACCCTTGTGGAGTTAATAGCCTATTAAGAAAAGAACTTTATTAAATAAATAATTGCAACTCATGAACGTTGCATAAAGGAGCATTCAGGAAACTTCCTGAAGAACAGAAATTAAAGTGAGCATGGAGAGAAAATGAAGAACTGATTAGGTGGCAGGGAGTGGCCTGCAGGAGGGGAGGTAGTGTGCTAGGGTGTGGAAGTTGGATACCCCAATTCCCAAGTTTTAAATCTAAGCTCAATGACTTAATCCTTCCTTAAGCACAAGTATATACATATATACATTCACAAAATTTGCATCCCATATACTATACTCTAAAAATTGCTTCTTGAATCACTTCTCTTTCCATTAGTTCCATATCCACTGAATCAATCAATTGCACACCAAAAATACTGAAATTAAAAAAAATCCAGCAAGGGGCTAAGCAACTCAGTGAGACCCTGTTCCTAAATAAAATACAAAATAGGGCTGGGGATGTGGCTCAGTGGTCGAGTGCCCCTGAGTTCAATCCCCAATACCAAAAAAGAAAAAAAGAACATGCTTTAAGTCAAGGTATATAGTATAAGACAAAAGGGACATGTTTTACTCACTAGGTCTTCTCAGTTTATTTTAGGGATCCACATTTTATCTTGAAAATAAGAGATGTTTTTCTCTTTGTGACAGTTATAAACATCACTACCAATTTATTAGCTTTAAGAAACTAGATATATAAAGGGAAAATATTTCTCAAAATAAGGATACACCATAGCTTAAATGTGTTGGAAACTTAATCCCCAATGGAACAGTGTTGTGAGGTGGGACCTAAGAAAAGGTGATTATGTCATGCTGCCTCTACCTTCATGACTATATTAATGTAGTTGTCATTGGAGTGAGTTAGTTATCTGGATAGTGACAATATTATAGAAGCAACTTTTTTTCCTCCCTTGCTGATGCTCTTGCTCATCTTTTCTGACCCTGATGTCTTCTGTCCTGGAATGATGTAGCAAGAGGGCCTTTGCCAGATGTGGGCATCTTAGTATTAGACTCCCAAGTCTCCATAACTGTAAGAAATAAATGTTCTTTCTGTGTAAATTACCCTGCATTATAGGAGCAAAAAGGACTAAGACAGAAAATAGGGAGACTGATAAGAACAAAAATAGACCTTAGTGAATCTGAATTGAGCCATAAAATTTTTCCACAGACGAGACTTTGAAGATCAGCTCAGATAATTAATTATGTTGAATTTGGTAAGTATGCTGAAAAGAAGTATTTTTTAAAGTAAAAATAAGACCTTGTATGGAATTGTCAGTTGGCATTGGTTTAGTGACTGAGGATGATGAGTAATAGTTACCATGGAAGAGGAAGGAGGCAGAAGTATTTAATGGGGTAAGTATATATTTCTTTCTGCCCATTCTCTTATATTTTTCTTTGTCTTTACCATTAGTGGAAATACTAATTTATATGTGCTTGTGCAACTCATTTGAACAATCTGATCCTCAATTCCATCATCTCAAAAATACTTACAATCCTGTTATAATGGCTTTTTTATTGGATTTTGAAGTGTGCCTGCTTGAGGGAGGACAGAGACAATGCATTAAAATGGGCTATTTACTGTAACCAGAACAGAGAAAGTACATGACAAATAATTACCATTTTTTAAAAGTCATGTTTGTGGCTCTTTTCCTATGATTAAATAAATCATATATTTTTGGAAATAATAATGGTAACTGATCAAGGTGGGAAATAAGAATGGATATTTATTTGGGCAAAGTATGGCAAATAGGTTTTATCTCAAGAGCTCAATTATATTTATACAAGTAATGGAAATCTAGAATGTTATATAAAGGGAGGATGGTGAAGTCATGTTTATTTTCCAAGAGAAAGCTTGCTACTATCTTTAACACCATTTTCCATGAACATCACAGGAAGGTACTTTCCCCATATGTTTTCATCCCAGAGATGTCTAGAATTTTTTTCCAAAATACTAATTAGCAGTAGAACTTACATGTATCTATCTCCACAGACCTACTGTTTCCTTTCTTTGTGTGTTTGATCCTTCCTTCTTTTTTTTTTCTGTTTCTCGATTTCCTTCCTTCCTTCCTTCCTTCCTTCCTTCCTCCCTCCCTCTCTCCCTCCCTCCCTCTTTCTCTCTACAGGTTATATTCATAAACTTTTCATCTTGCCTTATAAGTATCCATCCCTAGGCAAACTTCTCATTTATAAAATGCAAGACAGGAATATAGCTCTCAACTTTTTTACATTTCAAGAATGTTGTTATTCTATAAATTTAATTATGACTTTATTTTAAAAAATTCTTTAAGCTGCTCAAAATCAATCAATCAAGTAATTGTTGGATATTTACTAGGTGTAGGCACTATTCTAGCCATTCTATGTGTAGTAGTGAGTAAACAGATGAGTCCCTTGTTTTTAAGATCCTTGTGGTTTAGTATGTGTGTAGGAGGTTAGTGAAGTGTTGGAAATGAATATTCTATAGCTGGTAAATAATATCTCAAGTTAGTATAACATTTTAGATATGAATGTGAACTCTAGAACCACTCTCAATCAAATTTTAGCTCCTCCATATGACTTTGGGCAAATTACTTAACCTTACTGTGCCAAAAATCCTTCACTTGTGGAAGTAAATTATCTTTGTGTTAATTACTTCAAAGTATGCCTGGACACAATTAGAGCTAAAAAAATAAAAAAAGTTAGCTCTCTATTAACATTACTGTGACCAAGAGCAACCATCATACTTAAAAGTTAAACATTCCATGTGTTCTTTTAAAAATTATCAATAACACAAGGTTAATGACTATCATTGCTTCTATTTAATAGGGCACTGAAGTTTTTATCCAGAGAATTAAATAAGTCAAGAAAAAGAAACAAAGTACATACAGATTATAAAGAAACAGAATTATCAGTACAAGCAATCCAAAAATGCTGCAAAATTCAGTATTCCTTCAATATATCCACAGACTCAATCATTAAAAATTCAATTTAAGCCAGGTGTGGTGGTGCACACCTGTAATCCAAGTGTCTTGGGAAGCTGAGGCAGAAGTATCATGAGTTCAAAGCCAGCCTCAACAATTTATGGAGGCCCTAAGCAACTCAGTGAGACCCTGTCTCATGATGTTAATGAAAAAGTTAAGTAGATTTGTAACATACTAAAAGAAATTACAGAATTCACTATGTCCTATTACTAGCAGCAATCAGAAAATAAAACAATAAAAATTTCACTTGATAACAATGGAAAGTATAAGACATATAGGATTAAAATGATTAAAATTTTATATATTAAAATTATTGAAGAAAACATGCTAAATTGAGAGATTTGCCATTTTAATATTTGAAAATATTACAAATTATTCATGAATTTATTCCCAAATAATTTAGAAAATTAACGCAGTCCCAGTCAAATTACAAGGCCTTTTTCTTACTTTGTTCTATGAGATATGAGACTCACAGAGATCTCAAGTTTTCCACTCATAAGAAATCTACACTATGTCCACATTCTGCAGATACCCTGGTCCTTTCGTGTATTTACAAGTGATAATACAAATATTGGAGGACTTCATGCATCTCTATTTTGCTGCCTTGTGAGTTTTCCCTTTCCCTCAAAAGTCTTCCTTATCTAATGCTATGAGTTCTTAGAAATTTATGCTGAGTCCTCATGATAGTCGTAAAGAAAAATACCCTAGTTGCCACTGCAAATGTAAAAGTTTCAATCATATGTGCAATATTTGATTTCTTTAAAAAAGAATAAAGGATCTGAAGAAAATATGGCACAATGTTAAGGTTTTTCTGGTTGTGTGGTAAATACTTTTTTATTCTACAATATTTTTAGTTATTAAAAATAAAAAGTAGCAAAAATTCAGAAGTATATAATTTTAAAATTCAGTTGATAACTTGAGAAAAATTATCAGTATTCCTTCAATATATCCATGGACTCAATCATTAAAAATTCAATTTAACCCAGGTGTGGTGGTGCACACCTGTAATCCAAGTGTCTTGGGAAGATGAGGCAGAAGGATCATGAGTTCAAAGCCAGCCTCAACAACTTAGGGAGGCCCTAAGAAATTCAGTGAGACCCTGTCTCTAATAAAATACAAAAAAAGGGCTGGGGGTGTGGCTCAGTGATTAAGTGCCCCTAGGTTCAAACCTTGAAGCAAAAAACAAAACAACAACCACCAAAAAGATGTAAATATGTTCCTATAGGCATTAAATATAAAATTTCATAAACTCACTCATTTGTGGAATTTAAAATAGTTTAACTCATTGAAATTGAGAATAGAGTGTTGGTTATCAGAGACTTGGTAGAGTTGGGGTTAGACAGGGATAAGGAAAGAAGAATAAATGGGTATTGAGCTACAGTAAGATAGAATTAAGAAGTTCTGGTGAGCTATTGGATAGTGGGGTGAGTATAGATAATGATAATGTACCATATATTTTAAAAAGGTATTAAAGAATTATTTAGAATGTTCTCACCGTAAAAAATGATAAATATTTGAGATGATAAATATGTTTAACCTGATTTAAATATTACACAAGATATACATGTATTGCAACATTACATAAGAATCCGTAAATATGCACACATTTTATAAATTTACTTATTAATTTAAAAGATTTAAAAAGTAAATTCAAAAATAATACATAAAGTCTGAATTCAAGATAGTATATTTAAGGAAAAGATCCATAGGCATTCTAACATAATTTACTTAAGTACTTGCAGAAACATTATAAAACATTTTAATTATCATTATATTTTCCCCCATTCTGCCTATTGACACATTTAAATATTTGTAACATTTTCTGCAACATAATTGTCCTATACTTTGTTCTCCTTATCACTGACAGTACTCTGAATAAAAGTACTTGAATAAAACTTTAGCTTCCAAAAAATATATTCTTTTGTTCTATAATATATTGTAGCTTTAGCCAACTACTGCATAATAATGATTGTTAATTTTTTTTTGCCTGACACATTTCCTTTAGTAGTAATTAGGGAAATGCTAATTTCCTTCTCACTGATAGCAAAAGTCTATGGTGAGAACTCTTTTATGAGGTGAATTGTACATAGTCTGCATTAAAAATGCAATGGCTAATGCAAAATTACTCTCCTATATAAAATAACCAGAGTTTAAATCATTCATAATAAAATTAAATGTTCATATTTACCTTTGTATTCTAGATGAAATCCAGTGTAACTAACAGATCCATCACTCCGAAAAGCCAAATGCATAGTATTTGAACTGCTTTCTATTCTCTCTGGTAACTTGCTGTCTTGAAAACTTCCAATCAGTGGACTATTACTGTCTGGTCCATCATATATATAGAGAAAGTCATAATTTGGTTCTATGCTAAAACTAAAGAGAGAGAGAGAGAGAGAGAGAGAGAGAGAGAGAGAGAGAGACAGAGACAGAGACAGAAAAAGAGAGAGAGGAAGTAGAATTATTATTATTGCTAGAGTATTAACCATAATAATCATATATTCATATACTCAGTGCCTAAAATGAACAATAGACCATGTCAAAATAATCTAATATTAAAAAATTGGCTTGAAAATAAACACATTGAATATGAATGTCACATCAGCAGGGAAAAAGGAAAACAAAATCTTGATACTTTCAAATATTTCTACATTGTCAATTTATCTAGAGGAGATAGAAGATACTGTAAGGTAGAGAGAGTTTAACTAATGAAAGTTGTAGGATTTAGAGTCAGAAGATGTGAGTTTAAGCCTTGCTTCTGCCCTTCTTAGCTATGTATCCTTAATCAGTTACTATATCAATAAAGTGAATAAGCTATTTTAAATAGCTTTATCCATGTAGTTTACATCATGAAAATACTATTTCAAGGCTCCTATTTCAAGTACTGTACATTGTATTAGCTTTTCATTTTTCTGAAAGTAAATATTTTCTTCTTTTAAAACAATGTAGGAGAAATCACACTGTTTCAAAATTAGATAATGTTGAAAATGATATTTTAGCATGTGAATTATTCAAATCAATATTTTAAATATTGCAGTTTCCATGATAAACTGGTTTTAACCTTCAAAAGCATGAGAATTTTCTTATAATGATCATATTAGTCATATTCATAGAAAGTAGGAGACAAACAATAAATTGATTTATTATCTAACTTTATATTGTGGCAGAGAAACACAGTGAAAAGAAATGGGCTCATCTGAGTCATTAAGAAAAGTCAACAAATTCATGTTTTAAAATGAAAACAGTAAAGCTTGACAATGTTAAACATCCATCAGTAGCAAAACTAATTCAGTATTTTATCATCTTTGTATCTAAAAGAGATTTGTTAGGTGAAACATATTTCCAAATCTATGGAATGTATAGAGGTTAAGTTTATACAGTTTTTCTCATCCTTAACATGTGTGCCTCCATAGGAAAACTAAGTCCAGCCACTCAGTTTACTTGTGCATAAATGGTGGTGAAGAAAGACTGGGATGGAGTACAAGTTATTAACCTTTTTATATATAAATGTTCCTGTAACATGAGGAAATTAGAGAAACTTCACACTATCATATTTTGTTTTAATGTATTCAGTTGCTTCCCAAGTCCAGTGAATTTGTCTTCAAATCTTTCAGTGGAGCTGGGACCTGAATTTTGGTAACTGCTGGTACAAAAATGGCAAAAATCAGAAGATTGGGCCTGATTTCAATTACCCTTATCCTGGGACAAAGCATAATCTTTGAACTTCATCTCTTTCCACATTAAGATTTGATGGTAATTACAACTTCCTTGTCTATCTCAATTTTGGGAGGGACCAATGGAAACAAATGGTTTGTAATTGACACAGAAGTATTTATTATGTTCTGAAGGCTTAAAGCCTATTTAACAATGAAGTACTGAACATTTAAAAAATTTTAGTTTTGTCTTAAATGCTTAAAATATTGATTTATAGCTCCTTTGAAAATGAAAATCGAACAAAAATTATTTTTTCAAGGAAATTTTAACATCTTAGCCATAATATTTTCCCACAACAAGTGGAAGAATAGAACATTCTAATAGTAAATTATATTTTATAAGGCACTTTCATAAATATTAACTTGGTATTTCCAATAATCCTGTGGTATAAGGAAAGGATTATGATTTTAATTTTATCAATGAGTACATAAGTCCTTTCAAAGTCAGTTGTTTCCCTAAGTCACATAATAAATGACAGATGGAAACCAAATTTATGTCATGTGTTTCATTTAATGTAGTCTTCTACTCTTAATTTATTAACTAAAATAATTTCATAAGTAAACTAAGCCTTATGTCAAACATTTTGGTATTTCTAATGTCTATGTTGTCATTTCCTCCACTTAAAAAATAGGGAAAATAATAGTATTTACTCAGGAAGTGGTCTTATAACAGGGTCCTTGCATATAACTAACAATATAATTTTTGTTGCATATATTTCATATATTCATAAATTTGCTAAATTTTTATGACTTCTAATTATCTTTACTGCTTTTTTAAAATCTGGCTTTGATATATTAGAAAATATTGTAAATTTAAGCTTAACATTTTACATAAATATTACTGTTTTAACACACTGGAGGCAGAAAGAGTGGTTGTTTTACCTCTCTGTAGGGTCAACCAACTGGTTATATAAGGAAAATTTCTACTTAGGAAATACTTTTGTTACTATTACCTCACACTTCCATGGAAACCTTTATGTGGCTCTGGGGATCAAGTCCAGGGCCCATGTATGCTCGGTAAGCAAGCAATCCACCATTGAACAAAACCCACGACCCTTTTCATTGAAACATTTAGGAAAGAGGCCACATTCCATGACACAACTGTTGTCTCCATGTGAAGAAGCAGATATTCATTTAAATACGTAACTTATTCAAGGTAACAAAGATGAGTGGCAAGGTTAGAACTCAAACCCAACTGCTTATTTTTCCCAGACAGGTTGCATTCCTTACTATTTCAGTACTAAGCTTACCCTATGATTTTTACTACTACATGACAAATGGAAGTTTGGAACACTCCTATGTAAAGCTCTATCTTGAGATAAGTTCTACCAAGAAGTTATACAGAAATAACCCATAAAAATTTCTTTATCAGTTGGACTTAACAAGACCACAAAAAAGAAAAGTAGTTGGGAATATGTGTCTTTCCAAGCCCAGCAATAGTGCTGCACATGTGGGTTTTAAAATATTTTGAAAGGTTTTGAGTAGTGTAAATATGGAAGAAGAAAATTATTGAAGTGCTGACCTTTAATCTTGAAGTTTAGGAAAAACTGAATTTTTGGATACAGTGATGATAAGTACAGAGATAGAGGAAATGTTATAAAGTGATCAAACTTTTAGTCAGTAAACCTCTTGACCTTCAACATGTTTCCCCAACTAGAAATCTGGTGAAGATTCTCACCCACTGAACTTCAAAACTGCTACACTATTATTTAAGGCTTTGCAAATTGTTAATTACAAAGTATTGGTATTGAGTTTGGAGAAAAATAATAATAAACGTCAAACACAGAAACAAAAAAAAAATCACCTAGTACAAACACTACACTGAAATAACCAAAAAATATTTTTAAATGTAGACCTGTATAAGAACTCACCTGATGAATGCCAAGGAGATAACATAGTCAGAATTGACGGTGATAGTCCAGTCACAGTCCCTGCTATGTGGATATGGATGAGGAAAGTTTGGCGAAAGAATAAAGCCTGAAGATCCTGTTAAATTGCCTCCACAGGGTGCTTTAATTTAAACAAGCAAACAAAATCCCTTAAGAGATTAATAAAATTCATTAGCTATCAATATTTGTGAAAACATTTCTCTAAGAGGGCTTATGAGATTTTGCAGCACAGACCTGACTTTCATGGTACTGGATGCTTGAACATTGCATTTTCTTTCAAGAAAAATCATTAAAATATTGAATATATGGTATGAACATGGATTCATTGAATTAAGCTGATTTTCTGGCTTCCAAAATCAATAAAAAATTACATATAAAGTTCTTTCTTTTTCCATTACGACTTTGTTTAGTGTAAAAGGAAACCATTTGTAAAGGGGTAAAGATGATTTCCCCATGGAGATAAGAAAGTTACTAGAAAAAAATAGGGAAAAAAATAAAACAAAATAAAATATTTATAATAAATGGAGGGCCAGGGGCTAGGGTTGTGGTTCAGCGGTAGAGTACTTGCTAGCATGCATGAGGCACTGGGTTCAATCCCTGGCACCACATAAAAATAAACAAATAAAGTTATTGTGTTCATCTACAACTAAAAAAATTAATAATAATAATAATAATAAATGGAGTAACAGATATAGTATCTTCAGCTGCTTTTCATCTCTTCCCTGGTACCTTTTGTGTATTTATGGAACAAAAGGCTTTGATACTGTTAATGAGCAATAATGGATAATTTTCTGAGAAACTACAGTACTTTACAACTTTCTTATATTGAACATTAGGATATCCTTAAATCTAGTTGCCTGACTTAATGAAAATGGGCAGTTACTAAAGTCATGATAGTGGCCTCAAATGAAGGTATCTGTAGTTTTTCAGTAGAGAGGCTCAAAATATTGTCAGTGGAATTCAGAAAACAGGTTCTTCAGGGGAGTGTTTTTCTTTAGTCTTAAAACAGATATGTTCAGAAAATAATGTATTACAGAGTTGATAGCATCATCAACAACAACAACAAAAACAGGGAAATGAAGTCATGGATTCCCTGGTGGTGGGGTAGGAGAGTGGAATATAAATAAATACACGCACAGAGACATATACTTTGTGTTTGTATGGAGTGGGTGGAAGACTGAATTTTCATGTTCTCATGATGTCTTCTACACATAATTGGCACATCAGCACTATTATGCGAGTTTTAAGATTATACTTCTGCCTGATAAATGTTACCCTTAAGCCAAAAGGCATGCTGATTCTTTTGACAGCAAAAACTGGTTTGGTTATATCAACATTTCAGCATTTCTGTTAGATATGCCAAATCATCATTACTGTGTGAATGATAATTTTTGATATCTTTTATTGTGTTCCTCCATGTCCCATGGCTACCCATGTCTTAGTACCTCAGTTACTGTGTAGAAAATGAGCTTGGCTCCTACTATAATGGGGAATATTAAGTTGCTTAGACTTAATTATTCACTACTCTTTTCCTATTATTTGTATATTTTTGTGGTATTTATCAATGATTATGCATAAAGTCTCAACTTTTGGCAGCCTCCTCCTTCAAACCTAAGTGAAGCCTAAATTTGAGGGTAAAGAGTCCCTCCAAATAATCAATTAAAACCATCAACCTGGTTACATAATCCCTTTGCCTTCTCCAGAACCTTTTCTAATTAATTATCTTTCTTAAAGTCTCACATACTAAATATAAAACAAATTCCCTAAAAACTATTTCCTTTCTCCTTTATTTTTTAACAGAGGATTGAATTTTTACCTGATGTTTAAGAAATCCTCACATCCCTCCTCATATACTTTTTTGTTGTTGTTGTTGTTCAGGAACAGAGCTTATTTTAAGAAAAGATAGGTCCCCATAAGATTTATATAAGACTCCCTCATTTGACAGTAACAAAACCAGACATAGACCTGGCAAATTCCAATTCTTTGCCTCAAATGTTTAGTTCCTCTTTGTCCCTACTGATAAATCTTAGTAAAATTCTTGTCTACCAAGCTTTGGTTATCTTTCTCTCCTTTCCCTAGGCTTCTGAACTTTGTCCCACACCTAGCTGTGATTTAGCATGCAATCCTTTCTGAGAACAGTACAACACTCTGATCTACCAATCAGGAGACACTCTTTCATTCCACTCTTCATTCTTTCTTGCCTTGCTTACTCTTTTCTACAGAAGAAAAACCATTTTTTGTCTAACTCCTGAACCACCTAGATCTCTGGCTGCAGAGATCTATGCCCTGTTGCAATAATCCCCTTCTACCAATTGCAATAGTCCTTCCTTCCCACATCTACACCACAAAATGTTTTTTGAATATGAGTTTCTTATTACCAAATGCAAATTATTTATTTATTTTTTTAAATTTTTTTATTGTTGGTTGTTCAAAACATTACATAGTTCTTGATATATCATATTTCATTAGAACAGATTATGCTAAGTGAAGCTAGCCAATCCCTAAAAAACAAATGCCAAATGTCTTCTTTGATATAAGGAGAGTAACTAAGAACAGAGTAGGGTCGAAGAGCATGAGAAGAAGATTAACATTAAACAGGGATGAGAGGTGGGAGGGAAAGGGAGAGAGAAGGGAAATTGCATGGAAATGGAAGGAGACCCTCAGAGTTATGCAAATTATTTTTAATTTGATGCAACTAGGTATTTTTTTTGAAAGAGAAATTAATAGTGTCTCTGTACCTATGTTCTTTATTCACCAAGGGGGAAAATTTTTTTCTCAGTTTGTATCTCAAAGGAAAGTGCCAAAGTATTCATCCTGAGAATAATTACCTTATGTTTAGAATTTTATTTATTTAAAATTATATCCCAGGAGACACAATAACCTTTTTATTGCTTGGGAATGCAGATGTCTTTATCTGGTCTTTTCCTCATGCAGTTCTCTCCTCAACCATTGTTTTTTACCTCAGCCTCCTTGACTCCAAACAAATAATTCTTCATCAACCTTACTTGACTTTTATATTTACAAATATAATAGATAATTTTCTGTCTTTTTCTTTCTTTTCATATCCATAGTCACTATTACCTAGAAGTGAATTTGAATTCACCTTAAATTCATTCACTTACTTTTTTGGAATTCAACTTCTATTCTTTTCCTAATGTTTTGTATAGATTTTTATATTATTATTTTATTTATTTCTTCTTCTTCTTTCACTTGATTTTATAATTTTGGTGTTCTGAGTTCCTAGCTAGTTTTCCTAATATTTTATTCTATTATATTCCTTCTTCCATTTTTATATACTACTTATTTCTTTTTCTATCTGTTCCTGCAGATCTCTGCTGAATTCTAAACCATAGGCCTGAGTGTTTACTGCATATCTCTACCTGGTAGTCTATAGGTACATCAGACATAGATTATCCAAAATACTCAAACCTCAGTTGAATTTGTATCTATGCCCATGTTCCTGAAAGGTTGGATTTACACTATCATCCACCTAAATTCCCCAGACAGGAGACTAAAATTCTTCCTTTTTAAAAAATTGCTTCCTTATACCCAATCCATCAAACAGCCCAGCCAAGGCTCTATCTTACATTTATTTTTCAGTTTGGCCTTTTTTTCTTGCCTACCACCATATTTGTTGACCTGATTCATCTCTCTCTTTAGAATTACAACAGCTTCCTCTAAAGATAGTCTAGATTCTACCAATTTGTCCTCTCAGGGAAAATATCTAATCATAATGTGTTACACATAAAATTCTGTATTTGTTTTACATTGCCTAAAAGATAATGCTCAACTCCAGTACAGATTTCATGACCAGACCTCTGCAACTTTTCTGATCTCATCAACTCAAAAACTATAGTTCTTTGTATTTCTAGGACTTTGCTTATCCAATTCCTTCTCCCTGAAATGCCATTCACCCTTCTACATTTATATAACTTTACTTACATTTTTAAGATTCATCACTGCCTTCAGGAAATTTTCCTGGAAATCCCAGCCTGAACTTTGTTTCAGCTACTCAATCTTCTCTAGTATCCATAGCAACCTTTGCTTATTTCTATTTCCCTTCTCATATTACATTTCAATATTCATTCAGGTGTCATTATTGACCATTAATATGTAAGCTAAAGACTGTTCCTTATGTGGTACTTCATGCCTGGAATTCAGCACATGCTAAATATCCATGAATGCTGAATTACTAGTGGTTCTTTTGATTATGAAAATAGGAGAGATACATGTGCAAACTAATTTGTACCTTGGTGTTCTGATTAAAAAAACAGCTTAATTTGCATTTGGGGTTTTTAAAATCATATGTGAATATGAAAAAAATGTAAGAAAAATATGTGTGATAGCAAATATAAATATGCATGTATTGTACATAAGAGAATTGGAATGATAGTAAAATATTGCTTGTGATTTTTTTCAGGTGCTAAACTGGGGGGATTATGTTCAATTTCATAGATAGTGAAGGATCAATTTTGTTCGTTTTACTTTTCCTTATTTTCTACTAAAATGCTGGTATTCTTTATTGTTGAGAAATTTATATAGATACATATTATATGTTTGAATCCTTGATCACTAAAGATATAGAAAAAATCGTTACATATAGAAAACTCATTACATACATATTTTAGGTATCTTATTGGATATTGTACATGATAATACTCTTAATTCGTCACAAGTTCCCCTAAATTTTTTTTATTTTAGTATTCAGATTATTTATCAAAGGGTTCTCAATATAGTTCAATGCTGCTGTTGGTTTTAAAAATCTACAAAGCCAGGAAGACAAGCAAAAATGTTAGCTGACATTTGTAAAACCTAAACAATCAGTGAAGAAAAATGAAACAAAACAAAACTATATTTTAAATATACTCAACCTTAAATAGCATTTAGAAATGCATTTTTACTTTTACTTATCTAATCAGAAAATATCCAAAATAAAATCAGAAATCTATGAATTAAATTTTTAGTTTCCATGGAATTCTGATATGAATGATTTATTCTGAATATAGTTTCTTGTGAAGCAGTTACATGGGCATCATCTATTGATAACTATTTTGCAATCTTCTTAATTTTTTTATTCCAATTCAATTTTATTTGTATCTACTGTTTTTCTGAGCAGTCTACCCATGCTAATGTCTTTGTTATTTACCTTCATATTGAGTGCTGCTACATTCCCTCTGGCAATGTCAAAGTAATCCTCACACTGTCAATTTTATTGGAATGAATTCTATTAACTTTCTAAAGATGACGTCTCTTCTGTTTGCTATTTGCTATGAGTCTGACTACTTCTACATGCAAGAAAAATGCTTTATGCTCCAGGGTCTGAGACATAGACTTATGGAGTTTCTAAACAGTTCAGGGTTTAATCTTTGGCATAGTATTTCCAATCATGGAGTTCTTTCTTATCAGTTTCAGAGGTCAGGCTTTTTGCAGCCTTAGCAATTTTTCAGACTTTTTTTTTTTTTAGGTTATTTTCTTTCTCAGAGAAGCTCTAATGTGTATCTTCTCCTCAAGCTATCTTTCCCTACCAAAAAATAATATACTGTACCATAATCCACACAAATACTTTCCACAACCTTCTGCATTTAAGTAAGATTTGGAACTCATTTTTTTTCTTCCTTGTTAGCTAGAGCATATTGTTGCCACAATGAAATTTTATGATTACATATCTCAGAACTCATTAATCTCTTCCAATTTGAATTTTAGTATTTTCTATAATAAAGTTATTCAGTATTTTAGATTTTTGCATAAAAACATTTGGCATAATGTAGCCCCTCTGGTAATCCTATTAAGTGTACATATCTAAGAATGACAACAAAGTGAGAAATTCCACATAAATTCTGTGGTGTTCTATTATTTCCTCTCTATATAATAATTTTCCTGATGTACTATGTAGTCAAATTATAACTAATTAGAAACTAAAGTTTTAATTTAATTAGAACATTTTAGGTTAACTCAGTCATAAATAATTACATGAAAACAAATGTATGACCCATATTTTCAGTCTTTTTTTCTTTGGAGAAATTTCTTAAAATTTTTTTCTGCCTTTATGAGTATAATTATAGCAAATGCAAATTAATTTATGTTTAATTATTTAGAATCTTGCACTCATGAATAAAGAACAACTTAGGTGTAAGCAGGAAATAACTTGTAAAGGGAGGTATAGTGAAGGACGAACTGACTGTAGCTATGGCCTTATTCTGTGCTTAAGAAAAAAAAATCTAGTAAGATTACTTCTTTGTCATCTGCCTCATTTTCTACAGAAGAGATCTAGAACTGTCTGACTGGTTTGGGCCTTTGTTTATTTGGTTGTGTTCCTTTTGGACAAATAGTGTTTTTTTTTTTTTCTAATTATTATTGGTGCTTTTTAGTGAAACATTAGTATTCATTTTGAAATAATTACAAAAGCATGGAATGTAAGCAAATCATGTTTTTTTAAAACCACCTTACAAAATAAAGAAAATGTGATGTTAAAAACAGATTTTTATCTCAGTGAAAAATAGATTGATAACAGGAAAGTTTACTGTTTTGTTTTATTGCTAAATTCCCAGTGTTCACTGTAGTAGTGGGGCACATTAAATGATTAATGATAAAAGCTTTTGCAACTTTTGCATGAGAAGTTACAATGTAGAGTAAAAAAAACTGAATAATTGAGTGCATACATGAGTTGTTCACTTCTAAGTGAGGTTCTGAACATTCTTTTCCATGTGACTTTCAAAATAAATCACTATGAAATTCTATTGAAAATATTTGTAAGTGAACAAAATTAAGTTTATCTCAAAAACATGCTAAATTTGTGTGCAGTGAATGCCATTAGAAATACAAGATGAACAAGATATGGAATCTTCTCTCAGGCTGATTACAGTGAAATGAAAGACAGACTATGTAAATAAATAAAATTTCGAGTAGAGAAAATGTACTTCAATAAAAATGTATAGTAAATTCATGTTGATATCAATACTAAAAGAGCTGAACAAAATGGTTTCAGATTAAACTAATTAATTATATAGAAGACTGTTTGATTGGTTTAATTTAACTCTTTCTCAGATCTAGTGCTGAAATAATTTGTATTTTTTCTAGAGCCTGACTGTGGACTCAAGGACAGAGCATGCAGACAAAATTTAGACATTGGAAGTATTAGTCATGTTACTACAACTCCTTAGACCATCAAAATAAAAATTGAAAAATTTTTGAAATACATGAATTAAATGAAAAGCTAAAGTTTGGAACTCTCATATAGGTTCAGATAAAACTTTCTTTTTTAGAAGAAATAACTATTTTATAAGCAAGATCAGTATGGCCTATATGAAACATACAATCTGAATCCATTCTGAATTTTGAAAGCAATGGATAACTACATTAATGTACTAAATAAAGGATGATCAGGATTTTTCAAGAGCTTTGATTTATAACTTTCTGAGGGCCTTAGGATTATTGAGGATCTAATGAAATTATGGAATCAGCTCATGAAAAAAAATTATGATCCTTTAAATTTTGTATATTTTGAGAAGATTCATAGTCCTTTGAAATCTTAAGACTACCATATAGAATCTTTCATAATATATCTTTCTTAATATCATCAATACCAGCTTTTAACCATTGTTTTACATTTATAGAAAATTTTAATTATTCTTTAATCATACCTATACAGACTGGTGGGCTGGGCTGCCAGAAGTATCGATTTTCTACCTGAATGCAGGTTATTCTTTCCTGTCCTTGAAGTTCATATCCAGGGTCACATTGAAAAACCACAGTGTCCCCAGGTTCTCTTCCATCTCCATTTCGAGTCCCATTCATGGGAATGCCTGGGTCACGACATGCAGTGGCAACTGAACCTATAAAGGGACCAAAACAAAACTTGAGTTTGGATACTAACAAAATAAGTTTTGAAGCTCCAAACTCCAAAGTTTAAAGTTTAGAACCTTTCACAAAACTGTGTGCTTTTAGAATAACTTAAAACATGTTTAGATAAAATTTTAAATGTCTGCCCAATTAATTAATCAATTTAATTAATAAATAGTTAAATTAATTAATTTGTACTGGTAATTGAATCCCGGGGCACTATATCACTGAGCCACATCCTAGGCCCTTTTTATTTTTATTTTTGAGACAAGGTCTTGTTAATTCATCAGACTGGCTTTGAAGTTGCATCCTCCTGCCTCGGCCTCTTTATAGGTGTATACAACTGAAGCTGGCTACAATAAATTATTAACATACAAATTATTAACAAATTATTTATTTGTTTCACGTTTTATAGAATTTTAGTGATTAAACGTTAGAGTTTCTCAAAATCATTACATGTTCTGAGAAAGACACAGTGAAGGAGTTGAAAACTACATGCTGTGAGAAAATATTTGTTTGGGAGATAACTCATGAAAGACTTGTAATAGAGTATATTAAAAAAAAAAAAACTCTCAAAACCAATTTAAAAAAGAAATAGGAGCTGGGCACAGTGGCTCGTGCCTGTAATTCCTGAGGCTCTGGAGGCTGAGGCAGGAGGATAGCAAGTTAAAAGCCAGTCTCAGCAAAAGTGAGGCACTAAGCACTCAGTGAGACCCTGTCTCTAAATAAAATACAAAATAGGGCTGGGGATGTGACTCAGTGGTCAAGTGCCCCTAATTTCAGTCCCCAGTAGCTGCCCCCCCCCACTTCTGTAAATAAATAAAAAGGAAGAAGGAAATCAATAACGGGACCAATTATAAAGTGGACAAAAGACATTCCGAAGAAATCATATCAAACAGCACGTGCAAAGCTGTTCAACATCATTGACAATCAAAACCACAATAAGATATTACATTTATATCAGATTTGCTGAATTACTTTTTAAATAAATAGGTTTATATGACAACACTAGATTCTGCCAAGATTATGGAGAAAACTTCATCCTGATAAATTTTTGTTGGGAATGTAAACTGGTACAGCCACTCTGTAAAGGACTGTGGCAGTTTCTTGCAAAACTAAGTTTGTGTTTGCTATAAAACCCAGAAACTGCACCCCTGGGAATTTATCCCAGAGAAAATGATTAAACTGTGGTGAATCCATATTCAGCAATATAAATGAATGATCCCCATCCATACTTTGAATGGATGTCAGGGAAATTGTGCTGTGTAAAAATAAAATATCAAAAGTTATATATTGTTTGATTCCTTTAACATTCTTGAAGTGACCAAATTATAAAAGGGTAAAATGGATTGGTGGTTGCTCACCATTGAGCACATAGGAAGACTGAGGAAAGAAACTAGCTATAATCAAGTAGTATGAGGGGACCTGGTGATGGAACTACTCTGAATCTTGGCAGTAAGGGTAGTTACAGAAACATCCTGAGGACTAAATAAACACATACCTGGCACATGTGTGTGCATGCAAAATTGATGAAATCTAAATAAGGTTAGGGAATTGCATCAATATAAGCTTTCTGTGTAATGTTGTACTGTATCTATGCAAGATGTTATTATTGTGGGGGAAAACCTGGTAAAAGGTCTACAGAGTCTTTCTTTATTTTTTGTAGAAAAGTGCAAAAAACTACAATTCTGTAAAAATAAAAATCATTAGAAGAGAGTACTATGAGACTATTTTAAAAAAACATTATTTTTCTATGCACATATATAACACATTATCCAATACAATTAATATCAACTATTCAGATTAACAGAACACAAATATTTTAAAATACCAGAATGCAGAATGCATGTAGTTTCAAGACAAGGAAGCCATTAAAATTTACATTTAAGCTACTATTAAGCTACATTTACAAATGAAAGATCCAGTGCTTGTGCAAATTATTCTTAATAGTTTATTAAACCATTTTTAATAGTCATTAAAATAATGTCTTGAATTGCTGGGTTAATGACACATGAGCAATATTCACTCACTCATTTATTTATTTACTAACTCAATATATGCCAGACATTGTAGCAGGTACTGAGAATACAAAGAAATGAGTGAAAACAATAGAATTGAAGAGTCTTCAGTTTTTATGTATTGGTCAATATAGCAATAATCTGAAAATCTATCCATCAAGCTTGTTGCCACTCATCTATCTAATACACGTATATAACAAAGAAACCGGAGAATGTCTGTAGTTTCATAGTGTTCTGACTTGAGTTATATGGTAATCAAGAGGACTTAACAACATAAAGCTGAATAATGAGACTACCTGCCAATTTTAGTGGAGACTATATATATATACATTTTTTAGCATTCTTAATGCAGTTAATAGAGTTAAAAAAACTGAAAAAAAATATTGGCAAGATATTAAACCTAACTCTGCCTCAAAACAGTAACAAAAAAGTGAATGTCTATGTTTATGTAGATATACATACATATATTTGTGTCTACATTTTTTTTAAGGAATTTACCTTGAACAGTCACCTTTTAAGGGAAAAATGTTACATTTTAAAGAATTAATTTTAGTATTACTTTTTTTGAACGGTTGCAAAATGTAGCTTCATTTACCATTTTGCTTATCATTTAATGAAGCAAAATCTAGTTAGTTTCCTAACTCCTATTCTAGCAGGATGATCTTTTAATAATTAAAAGACCTGTAGAGTTTGCTTCTTTTACTAAAATTGTAGAATTCCTGAGCAATGATCCAGGACTTAGAAAGTATAATTTCTTTAATTCTCATAACAAACCTATGAGTCAAATGCCATCATATTCTTATTTTAGACTAACCTGTTAAGTAACCTACCTTAACTTTTACAAAAACTAAGAACAAGGATTTAAAGCTTAGTATGTCTGATTTCAGAACTGAACCAAAACCACTGAATTTTACAGAAGACTATCTTCTTCTACCTGTAAGTATCTCAGAAATTCAAATTCTCCCCCTTTAGATAATAATATAAAATAATAAGTCCTATTAAGACACGTTGGAAGGTAGAAATTACATCCATAAGTAGAAAAACTATAGGTGACATAAATGCAAATCTACCTTTAAAAATATTCATTCTATCCTCCATTTTAGTTATTTTTGAGAAAGTTGGTCTCAATGATTAGAATAGCAATTGGGCCCTTACTAGAGAATAGGAAGGGAAGTATAGGGACTTGGTTTTAAAATTCTGGGGAATTTTGTTTGTTCATAACTATTAGTGTTCCTTAGAAGAGAACTAAGCAAAACATCAGGCATTACAGGATCTGAGCAGATAAGGATTTTTTATGAAGTGTTTGTTGTCATCAACTCAACCATTATGATTTGTTGATTTGCTCTGGAATTTTTTCCACCAAAACTAAAACTGACCTTTGATTGCACTTACAATACGTAACTAAAGAATGTTGTCCTACATGCCAGATTTACATTAAGAATATTTTCACTGGAAAGAAGTATGTAAAAGATATAGAGATTGTTATTTAAATAGAAGTAACATAAAAGATTACTAGAAAACTTAATTTTTAAGGGTCTATGTACCATGTCCTTCTGTGCCGAACTGTTATGTACCCCCAAATTGCTAAGTTTATGATGAACATTTTCCAAAACTAAAAATGTATGTATGGTGATATTAGGAAAACATCAGGATGAAAGAAATTGGTATCATCATGTTTTAACTATGAGGGGAAAATGAGTTTTTGCTTTACTGTTAGATTTTCTAGGCTTAATGACTTAAAGCAAGAACAAATAGTTAAAGTAAGAAGGCTTTCATATAACATCTAATACATAGTATGTGAGAATATACATTTACCTTTAGTCCTAGTTGACTTGAAAGAAAAGATATGGCAAACCTCTGATGTTCCTTTTTTTTTTTTTTCCAATCTCAATTAGTAAGCAAATTAAGAGTAAGATTTCAAAGTGCAACAGAAAATGATGGTGTTTAATGAAAAACCAAATAAGATTTTTACTTCCTGGAATTACTTGAGTTCTAAAAACAATCACTAAAATACATAAAAAAATTACTTGGTGTGAAAATTGTCTGATTTTCTTATTCAAAGTTTGGACTTCATACTGATTATATTCTGTGTTTGTGGGAAGAAAAAACTACTAATTTCAGCACCAATCATTATTCTTTTCTGTATTAAATAGAAACTATAGCCAGTGAAGACACAAATAACCATTTAAGGAGCTATATTGCATATAATTAACAAAATATATAATCCTAATTTGAATTTTCTTTTTGTTGTTATTTATAATTCTAGATTTTGATCCTTTATCTTTATCTTATCTGATTCTGGTATAATATATAGGATCTCTCTCTCTCTCTCTCTCTCTCTCTCTATATATATATATATATATATATATATATATATATATATGTAATTGTTTTATCAATTACTGTAAACATAACAATAAAAAGTATATAACAGAAAATATGCATTTTACATATACTGGCCACCAGTATATTAACATCAATAATTTCTACTTTGTTCTAAATTTCTTTAGTTCAAATTGCATCAGAATAAATTAATGGAATATTAGTATCTTTGTTCTATTAGGTTTAATTGTTCTGTTCATGCTTCCTTTTTCCTGACATAAATGTGTTGAGTAAGCACAAATTCCAACAAAGATAAAAGGACTTAATAATCTTGTTTTCTAATCTATAATCATGTCATAAAAGGAACATTCTGAAAAGTGAAATGGTTTATGTGCTCTAACAACCAAATATAATTTGAACTTGACTCTATATTCTATGAAACTGAAAATAAAAACTGGACACATTTCTTGCTTTCTTCACCTCACAAGGACAAGGATTTTAGTCTAGAATGGGAATTTCCAAGTAGCTAGTCTGTTCTACAGCTGTGATTTCCACTTCATATGCCAGCTGATTATTAATAAAAATGACACTCATGGGGCAATGGTATATAAATAGAAGTGTACGTAGATAGTTTATATTGTTAATAAGTAATA